AAATGAATAATAAATAACAGCTTGTCATTGCGACCATCTTGACTTTGTTTTACTCTTCTTCCGGATGCCCCTGTTCATACTTAATAGTTGAAGCTGACTCAGTATCAGCTACACCAGTGGTAGGATTCAAAACTTTTTATTACCAGTTATGTGGGCATGGCTTGGTGGGCATGGCTAGGTGGATGTGACCATGTGACTGGATGGGCATGGCTTCTCCTTTTTTGTTTTTTTTTTGCTTTTTTGCAGCCATACCCCCCCCCCATTTTTTGGGCCTTCTGGGCCCTGGGCCTCAGAAAGAAAAAATACAGAGCTTGGAGGGGGTATGCATCAATCCCCTCGCTCTGTTTTGCGGCCTTCTGAGCCTCAGAAGAGCCTCCTGGGGGGGGGTGTTTTTGCTCTCAGAAGGCCCAGGAAGGCAAAAAATGGAGAGGGGGGCTGTGCCCCTCCCTCCATTTTTTGCCTTCCTGGGCCTTGGAATCCTCCTGGGCGAAGCAGTAAGACAGGCTAGGGGAATCCTGGCACAGCTGATCGTATGAACAGCTGATTGTCAGGAGTGGAAAAATACCTTAAGGGGTGAGCATCAGGCAGGCGGGGTGAGTGAGCATCAGTTGGGTGGGGCAAGTGAGCCAGCAGTGATTGGGTGACTGGGCAGCCGGGTCGGGGGCATGGCCAGCCAGAACTTACTACCGTTTCGGTGACTCACACCAAATCCTTGCTACCAGTTTGCCCGAATCAGTGCAAACTGGCTGAATACCATCATTGAGTTACACAGATTTTGTTCCTTTACTTCTATGTACAGTTGGATTTTGAAAGCTTTCTCATGCATTAAGAATTGTACTATAATAATGGAAGATTACATAAATACTTGATTTAGCAGTGTATGGCATTGATACTTCTGCAGTCTAGCCAGTGGACACTGGAGGAGGTGGAGGACTGGAAAATTCAAGGGAACTACTGACTGAAGTAGTCAAATGACTCAAACACAAACCAGTATAGACAGGGACACTAAGATATTGAACTTGTTGATCAGAAAGGTCGGCAGGTCAGCGGTTCGAATCCCTAGCGCCACATAACGGAGTGATCTCCTTTTACTTGTCCCAGCTTCTGCCAACCCTAGCAGTTCGAAAGCATGTAAAAATGCAAGTAGAAAAATAAGGACCACTTGGTGGAAAGGTAACCATGTTCCGTGCACCTTCTGCATTTAGTCATGCCAGCCACATGACCACAGAGACTTTTTCGGACAATGCTGGCTTTGTAATGGAGATGAGCACCACCCCCTAGAGCTGGAAACAACTAGCACGTATATGCAAGGGGAACCTTTACCTTTACTGACTGGTAGGGTGGTTTGTGGGGAGAGGTTATCTGTTAGACAGACAGACATAACAGCATGTGGTTAGTAGTTACGCACTGGTAGTCGTTGACTTATGACTGGTTGCTTTGCCACCATTCAAAGTTCTGATGGATCTGTTTGGCTGAGTACTTACAACCCAGATTAGAAGTTCCAATGATAACCCTCACTTGCAGTCACATGACTGCATTTTGGGAACTCATCATTTAGTTGGATAGCTCTGGTGAGAAACTCTGATCTAGCAAATGTATTATTTGAAGAACTTTCAAAGGAGTTTGCATTGCTTGTATAAGCTAAATATTTCAGTCTGCAATCTTTTGGGTTCATCTGGTAGCTTTGCCATATAGGTGGTTATCTTGGGGTTTTTATTTTTATGTTTTAAAAAGGATGAGTCAAGTATTTAAAGGAAGTTACTATTTTCCTTTTATCTTTCATTATGTCTTTTACACACAATTGATTCAAACTTGTATTCTCTCCTCTGATTTTAATATTTAAAAAGGAGAGTAAAAAAATTAATCACAGATGCTTTGTTAGTGAGATTTACCAGCTGTAGATTCGTTGTAAAAATAGATTGTTTACAGTAAAGGTGGTTTCAATTCTTCATAACTATGTTTGCAGTAAATGTAATTTCAAGTTGTTAACACTGACTTTAAATTCCCTCCGCATATATTGCCAATTATAAATTGATTCACAGTCAGATTTAGGAAATAATAATAGAGAACATAAAATTTATTTCAGCAGACTACCTGAAACCACTTACTGATATGTTGCCCTGATTAATGGGCTCTTTCTGGATATTTGGACATAGTCATGCAGCACATCAATAACCTTTTGTTGAAAGCAACTGATTCTTCTTAAGGCATAATGGTACTGATTAAAATCTTGTATTACTTCTCCTCAGATGGATCTGATGCGCATCCAATGCACGTAATTGTCCTTAGACCTTGTGCTTCAGCCCAAACTATTTTTATCTGCATTTAAATTTATTGCTGCAGAAATTATTCCTATATATCATTGTTTTGTACTGCATAATTGCTTCGAAGATGAATGATTTATCGGAAGGAGAAGGTACTTTATTTTATATCTTTCTACTTAATGGAAAAAGAAGGTAGATTGCTATAAGGCTGATTGAAATATCTCTCCTAATACTGTCTTATTTAAGGGTTTTTTGTGAAAGAGCAAAATAATTATTGATGATTATAGATAGACCTGAAGATCAGGATAATGATAAACCAGGTGTTAGTTATTTATTTTTTAATTTATTATAATGTTTATAAGTTGCCTTCAAACTAAACATTTATTTCAGGAAGGGATAAAAATCCTATATCTAAAAATGTGAACTAAAAAGGGCTGGATAAAATACATATTAAAACAATAACTTAAACTAAATATTTAAACCATTAACTTCTCGACAACAAAATTAAGGTTCATTAAAAAGCAGTTCCCCCTCAAATCTTGCTATGCTACCTCATTGTCATGCGGATAGTCTTCCTGGGAGGGATGAGCAATGAATTTCTGGAAGTAGGGCCAAGAACTCTCCAGACTCACCCAAAGCGTGGAAGTTATCCCAGTTGCTCAAATAAAGCAAGTAAGCATCTATACTGAGAAGCAGGTAAAGGAATATGTTGCGAATGGATGATCTTTAGTGATAATAGGAAAAACCACATGGATAAGATAAGCTGGCTGACAATAAGTTGCTGCATGATGGGCCCAACATCATCATTGGATGGCACTCAACATGCTACTGAGGAGCAACTGAGGAAGTTGTGGTATTTATAACACAGCTAGAGAAAAGCTTTTGTAGTATCTAGTTACTGATGTTGCTATGTGGGAAAAGAACATCAGAAGCTGCAGAAATAGAATTACTGTGGGGATGTGGAATGAAAGAAGCATGAAGATGGGAAAGCTCAGACAATGAAAAATGAAATGAATCAGCTATACATTGGCATATTAGGTATTAGCGAATAGAAATGGACTGCAATTGGAAACTTTCATTCAGTAAATCATACTGTTTATTACTTGGGACACCAAAAAGAAAGCTATGTTGCTTTTATAGGAAAAATATAACAAGGACAGTACTTAGGTGGGATGAATGGTGAAATAATACTTATTACACTTGATGGACTATCCTTTCATAAGATTGTTATATTCAAGTTTATGCTTCAACCACTGAAACATAAGAGGCTGACAGCTTTTATGGTTAGTTCAATATGAAATTGAAAGAGCATACAAGCTATCATAGTTGTGCTTATTGCAGTTGTGGTGCTGATATGCAAAGTATTAAACATATTATGCAGGATTGCCCACAATATGTGTTCTCTGGTTTCCTAGAAGATCTGCATGAAGCAATACTAGGATAGCTGAATTGGACATCCAGTTATGAGGACATGCTGTATCCCCATAGAAGCTTTGTATATATTTATGTGGATTGTGTGTATATGTTTACTCCTCTTTGTCATGCTGTCATCATACACTAAATATATGCTAGTTGTCCTTGAGGTGGCTGGAGAATGGAATGCCAGTTGGAAATAATGAGAAAAGATAATTGGACTCTATGGCCTTGGAATGACTTTCCAGTTTCTGTGAGTCCAAATATTTTTTCATTGATGGCGATCCAAAGGAACTGTGGAATTAAATCAAAGAAATTGTTAAGGGTGAATTCTCAAAGACTCTAACCAAAGTATGTCAGCAAGTCTGGAGAACAACCAATGGTGAACATATTAGAACAGGTTAAACCCGTGGTGGCTAACCTTTTTGGGCTCCTGTGCCAAAAATTGTGCTTATGTGTGCACACACAAAAAGTGTGCTTATGTGCACACTTGCGTGCCAGCACCCAGGAGGCAATGAGCGCCCCCCCCATGTCCCGTGAGCATGCATGCACAATTTCCACCCTGCCCCCTTACCTGCACTGTGCCTCACAGCTGATTTTTTGGCTGGTTTGAGGCCTTTTTCGGCCTCCCGGAGGCTTGAAAAAAGCCTCTGCAGGCTTTGAAGGCCGAATAATAGGCCCGTTTCATCACTTCCAGTATTACAGAGATTTGTGTGACTCCCATCCTAAGGACAATTTGGTTGTTTCCATGGGTCTTGGAAAAGAGTGATTATGGACTCTCCATGGTCTTGAGTTTTTGTTTTTTTATTGGTAGTGTAGATAACTTCCAGTCTGCTGTAATTTTTTCTGTATGTTTTTTTTTCTTTTTTAATTGCAAGAGAGCCAAAGTTTTTAAGAAATTGGGTGGCCTCAATATGTAATTTAATGAATTAATCTCACTGCATAGAAACATTATATACATTTTGATTATTATGTAAAATTTTTCATGAAATAATTGCTCTGTTCATGTGCCTTTCTTCTCTCTCTGTGTGTATGTACTGGATTTGGCACCACAGGGTGGTATGTTATGTCAGCAGTGTTTTGGAATTGTATGTGACCATCCCACACACAAAATAATAAATTGTTCAGACTATAGTCTCATGTAACCCCCATTTAAGCAAATATCTCAATGTGGTTGAACTACCAATTCCATACCACAGTAGCTCTTTGTGTCTATTAAAGATAGCAATTGTCTCTTTTTGGGGGTACGCCACAGTCATTAAACAACTGTCCCTCATTTACTCTGGAAGGCATTCAGTGATACATTTTCCCCTTCCTCAACAGGAAAACAAGATTATAAAAAAACCAAACCAATGTTAAAAGCTGCAAGACTGAAAGCAGAGGCCAAAAAAACTGCACCAGGCATAAAGGTATGGCTAGAATATACGTATTTACATCAATATCCAATAAATATTGAGTTTCTTTTATCCAGAAAAAACTGTTGGGTGAATATTGTTCTTTAAGATATTGTATATGACATTGATGTTTTCCTTGAGAATTAGTTTATGCCACTGCTAATTAAACCAAATGCCAGAATCTAATATATTCATTGAATTAACCCACCCAACAAACTACAATTACTAAAAAAAAAAAAACCTGCAGTTTTGTTTGAGAGTCAATTACTTTGAATTTTCTGAAACATATTGTTGGTATCATGCACATATTTGATAAGCATCCTTGTTTTAAAGCAGCTTATGAGCTACATTAGATGAAAATAAATATTGTTCCAAGCATACCATATAATGCTGTACATCTTATTGATTTATTGAAAAAAATCTAAATCCCATTGACTTCAGTAAGATTCAGAGAAGTTGTGTGTTTGTGGTTAAAGTCATTCTGATCATTATGTCATAGAATCATAGTGCTGGAAGGAAGCTTCTAGTCCAACCCCTGGCCATGGCAGGATACCTTATGTTATCCCAGACAAATAGTTTTTCAATCTTTTCTTGAAAACCTTCAGCAACGGTACACCTACAGCTCTGGGAGACAAACTGTTCTATTTGTTAATTGTTCTCACTGTCATGAAGTTTCTCCTTATTCCAGGTTGGATCTCTCTTTAATGAACTTCCACCCATTGCTTTTTGTCCTTCCCTTAGGAGCTTTGGAGAATAATTTAATCTCTACCTCTCTGTGGCAACCCTTCATGTACTGGAAGACAGTTAATCATGTCACCACTAATCCTTCTCTTCATTAGGCTAAGCATACCTAGCTCCCTTAATGATTCCTTGTATGATTTATCCTGCAGATCCCTTATTATCTTAGTTGCTCTTCTCCGCATCTTTCTAGGATCTCAGCATCTTTTTTGTATTTTGGTGGCCAGAATTGGATGCAGTATTCCAAGTATGGCCTCGGTAGTGCAGTATAAAGTATTACTATTACCTTTTGTGATATTGGTACTATCCCTGATTTAATGCAGCCTAGGACTGCATTAGCTTTTTTGGCAGCTGTAGCACATTTTTGGCTCATACTTGGTGCACAAGTGATGGTGCACTAGGACAAACTCCCCCATTGACTTGGCTTGTCAGAAGTTGCAAAAAGTGTTCCCATGACCCTGAGATACTGCAACCGTCATACATGTGTGTCCGTTGTCAAGCATCTAAATGTAAATCACGTGACCATGGAGATGCTGCAATGGTTATAAGTGTGAAAAATGGTCATAAGCCACTTTTTTCAGTGCCATTGCAATTTTGAACAGTCACTAAGCAAACTGCTGTAAGTCAAGGACTACCTGTAAATATGGTAGTACAATCCTAAAATTAATTTGTTAGTTTACGAGAGATTTGCATCCAATCCCAACAAGAGCAAGTATTACCCAGGCTGTTTTTAGCAATGTAGTGATGAGTATAAAGATGATATGTATTTCCTATAAACCATTTATATTTAGATTTCATTACATTGGAAAGAACAACCTGAGGTAGTATGAAAACAGACAAACAAAGAATGAGAACAATTTCATGAAGAAAGGAAGTGCTAGCTATTACTAGGTTGGACGATCTGTTATTGTTCAAAACGGAACTCTAATTTCATTGCATTTCAAAAAAAATTCAATGAAACATTCTTTCAACATTTACTTTGTTTACTGCAGTGATTGAATTTTCATTAGGAATGTAGATGTAGGAGATACTAGGCTGAGCCCAAAGAAAGGGTCAAACGCGCAATCAGTCAGGAATCCTTTCATGCTCACAAGAGATCTAAGTCCAGCCCACTGTGAATTCCTTATCTCCCACCAAATTGCTTTAGCCATTAGTAATTCAGATTCTTGTAGAGAGCTTAAGCTTACAATAAATATTTATACCCATTTGAACTGCCCTGGATCTCCTAATTTCTCTGGCGCTTGAAGTAGGTTTACAAAAGTTTGCAAAAGTTTGATCTTATTTTCCTGAGAGTATGGCCTTAAACTTTTCTAAATCAACCCCAGTGTGATACTTTTGATTTCATCTCTAGCATGTTAATTAGTTTACTCTGGTATATTTTGATTGCCTGCCATTTTCATGTAGGCTTGAAAATAAAAAAGTTTCATTTAGTCATTGCCATTTAATACTTTGTTAATTTCCCCAAAGAGTGATTTTTATCTATGTTGATAATGTCAATGTAGCAACTTGTGAGCAATAAATATCCACTATTTTTTACTCTTCCTGAAGAAGGATGACTGTTTGATTGCTGTATTTATATGCTTTTTGATACATATTACGAGCTATTTGTGTGATGATAGTTTCAGTATTAAAATGTTCGTTTCATGGGAATTATTTTTAGCTCTTCAACAAAAAATCATGCTTGTATCCAAACCATGGCCATCATCAATATTTTCTCCAAGTTTAGAAATAAACAGTTTCATGCCATGTTTCACAAGATACTTCGTTAAACACCTGATCTGTTTTAACATAGTGACCTCATGCACATATTGCACTAAACCAAAGTGTAGTTTGTTTATTTTTGGCATATGTTGAGCAAACCCAGATAGTTGTAACTTATATTGAAAGCTGTAGTTGAGTAATTATGGCTTGATGTAATATGGGGGACAAGCCAACAGATTTTCTTAAGTTTCTAAGAATGCTTAACGTATCCACTGATCCGAGAAATTTTTGTGTGTTTCCCTCCAACTGGAATTTCTACAATTGGAGGGCATCAGCTTGACAAAGGTTGCTGCAAAAGATCAGGAACATCTTTAGGAATCTTCATAGGAAAGATTAAATGGTTAAGATTTACTGCTAACATCTGAGAACAGAAAACATGTAATTATGCTGACATGCATAAACCTTTATTGAAATTTGAAACAGAAGAAGAACAAGTGGAAGACTGTGTGAGAAGATGGACTGAGAACTTTGAACATAACATATTGATTGAACACCGTGAAAATATGTGATTAAACGGATTGTCGTTCATATTGTATTATGTTATAACTTAATTTAAAATATTTTTTTTGGTAAAGTAATGTACCATTGGTGCATGATTCCAGAAAAATTGTCTAAAGTGTATAAAGGTACTTCAGATTTAAGTTGGAAATGTGGACATTTTATCACGGTGGTTTTTCTTCTCTCTTTTTCATTTCTCATTATTTTTCTTTATTCCTTTTTAATTCAACATTTGAAGTTTTTAATTCTGTTGAAAAAAATTCAATAAACATTAAAAAAAAAAGAACAGAAAGCATGGAGTGCCATGCTGCAAGGTGAGGTCAACAGGAATAAACAAGCTGACTTTAAGGCAATTTTATACACCACTGCTATATTTTAGGAAGAAATGGCATTTCCTATAATTTTCAGAGGAGTTCAGTGCACGATGGGATTGTGGTGAGGTTTCATATAATGAGAGAAATACATAACAACAAAGCCATTATTCAATTGGGTCCAATTTTGAAACTAGTTTAGCCTAGGGAGAAAGCCAGCTACCAGACAAAATGAAATGGGAAAAGCAGGCAGAATAGAAACTATAATATCCAGGGAGATGGTAGGATCTCATTATCTGTTCCTGACCAGAAAAAACTTGGTAGTTGAGTGCCATTCATGCATTGGATTTCCTTAAGATGCTCGATGATCTGTTGTTGTGGTTTCCTAGAATAATGTTGGAGATTATCTGTGTTTTTAATTCTATTAGATGAAACCAGAAGATGATACTGAAGCTTAAACTAGCCTTCTTACATTCTTTACAAAAATGGAGATTGGTAGTAGTACAACAGCAATATTAAATAGGGTAGGGTTTTTTGGTTTTTGGATTTAAAAAGAGCTCATGAGTCAAATTATTTGTGTGTAAAAGAAAATTTGGGCTATTAGCAGAATGATAATCCACAGAGAACTTAGCCCAAGGAAGCTGTAACTGAAAAGTGTGTAAATGGCATATATTGAATTAGGCATCTAAAATACTGCAAAAATATAAAATAGATTCTTGTAAATGCGAGTAAAGTATGTTCCAGAAGAACATGTCAGATCATCCAGCAGAACTCCCCATTCTCAGAGGTTGACAGAAATTTAACTCTTTAGAACAATCTCATCCTTTTAAATTTGGTTATTTTTTTAATGTTCATGAAAAGAAAATCATTGCTTTGAGAAAATCATTCAGTCTATTCTAATTTATGTAATGCAGAAGAAATCTGTTTCTAAATCCCATTGACCTCTTTTCTCCTCCTCTTGTTACTTTATCTAAACCATTATTGATAATATGTTTTATTTTTTAAAAAAAATTGCATATGGTGTCTTCTCAAGTGCTACCTGCTGTAAATTTGAGACCTGAGCGATTATACCCTCCATAAAATTCACATCTTTCAAAAGTTTTATGTACCTATTATGGATTTTAGTTGTTTTCCCTGCACTAGGCCAGTTGCTTTTGAAAGCTGAAAGAATATAAAGAGCTATATTCTTTTATGACTGGATGGCATGAAATATTAAATAACCCTAAAGTCTTCTGTGAATTAGCCCCTCACAAATGACAACGATTCCCTATGATTCCAAACTTTTTTAGTAGAAAAGTGTCTAGGCTAAACAATTACTTAATCAAAACTATCATATGTGTGTATATATTCCATGTACGCATGTGATACACACACACCAACAGCCATGCACACATCAACCTGAATCAGTCCCCTGCAGAATGAATGAAGGTGCTTTTTCAAGAAGCAACTGGACTTTCTTTGTTTTTCCTTGAAGATGTTTCGTTTCTAATCCAAGAAGGTTCTTCAGTTCTAACTGAATGATGCAGAATTCCCCACTATTCAGTTAGAACTGAAGAAGCTTCTTGGATGAGAATTTAAATGTCTTCAAGGAAAAACAAAAAAAGTCCAGTTGCTTATTGAAAAAACATCTTTGGGACAACCATGACCTGGATGACTGAGAATCTCCATATCTTGCAGAATGAATGCCTCTTCATAGATGTTTTTTGACTCTATGCTTAAGTGGGATTGATTGGTCCAAAATCATCCAGTTGATTTTCGGGCCTAAATGAAAAATAGAACTTGGGTCTACTCACTCCAGTCTAGCACTGTAACGAGTATACCACATAGCCTTTTGTACATATACATATGTGAAATCATGATGGTGCCCACCAATAGAAAATGGTGCTGAGCGCTAATATATTGGTATAACCACTCTGTAGAGAATAAGCAAGACTAAAACCACAATTAGGGTGATCCTGATTCCAGTCAAAAATCCCTTTTTACCAGTCTCTTGTTACCATAAAGACTGGCAATAATAAGAGCTTTTATTCCAGTTTGAAACAGCATCCTATGACAAACTGTGTTTCTAGTGGGAGGTGAGAAATGAGTTACATTAAGATTGTGGCAGGAAGAACTTAATCCCCCATTTGACTTATGTTTCTCCAGATCTCCACATAATATTTCAGGTGTGTTTATGATATGTCATTTCATAGCCTAGAACAGGTTGGAAGCCATAATCTGAAATAGTTTTGTGCTGAAGTATAAGCACAAATCCCTCACCACTGACTGTATTTTCAAGAGTTACTAACCAATCTCCAAGATTTGCTAACCAATTTCATAGCTTCAGTCTAGAAAAGATTGGCAAAAAATAGCTGTTTCAAAATAATATTGTGTTAAGATATACACTCTGAAGTTCAAAATAAAAAAAAAAACTTCCTCAAATCTTCTGATTATGTAGATAGTTTAATTGAAAGCAATATAGAAATGGTTTGCCTTTCCCTTCTTTCAGGGTTATTATTAAAAAAAAATAGTAGTACAATCTATATCCCTTAAATTTGCTCATAATCTTCTATCCAGATAGATATTGCCATGATTTATGATTCTCTTGGGTACAAGATTAAAAATAAAAAATACTTATATACATTTTAAATTGCAGGATAATAGTCTGTTTTTGGAGATCTCAGTAGCTGTTACTGATTATAATGTTTATATTTATAAATGTAACTATCACATCAGCTCTTACTTAACTTAAAGTGATACTTAATTTTTTTCTCTTTTTAATACAGGAAGTCACCCTTGTCCTTGTGGCTATATTGGTATTCTTATTGGCATGTTATGCTTTCTTTTATCTTAACCTTTCTGAAGAAGATGACCTAGGTCTGGAAAAGGATGGAAATTAGCCAAATTGTTTTTGAAGATTTCTTCTAGAAAAGCATTACTCTTGTCGACTTCAGCCATGAACAGCTGCTCGTCATCAAAGTGGACAAAATGGGAATCAGTTCCTGCAACTCTGAAATTAATAATACACTTGAGACTATCTCAGCCGGTCTTATGGATATTAATGAGGTTCTTCTCCTTTTCAAACTGTAGTTTATTGGCTAAAGTTGACCTTTTTCTTCATTTCATTTTTCAACTGGAAATATTTCATTCCAGAAAACAATTTTCTATATTCTATTTTCATTAGTGTTATTGTGTGGATGAAAAGAATTTGATTTTCTTAGAACTTGGCAAACAAATACAAATTACAGATATGACTCAAACACAAACCAATATAAACTGTGATATCTGAACACATATTTCTATTACTTCCAGATTCTACTAATCGTTGTGTGAGTGATTCGGCCCATTTTTAATTCTTATCTCCAAAACAAAAAGAATTTATATGTGCTAAATGTATGTGAGTCATGCATGATAGTTTTTGGATTAAAAACTGTATACAGCTGGTCCTTGACTTATGATTGTAATTGAGCACAGAATTAGAGTCGTAAATCATGCCGCTTGTAAAGTGGGTCACCATGTGACTGCACCCGATTTTATGACTTTTTTTGCAGGTGCCATTAAGTGAATGCTATTGTTGTTACAAAAACCCATTGTACTCAATGGACATTTTTTGCTAGAAACCTGTTCCTAGCAAAATGCCAGTTTAAATGCCAGTTTCAAGCAAAAAATGTAAATCACCATGTGATTGGTGATGTGAATATGGGATGCTGCAAATGCAGGCCAATTGCCAAGCACCAAAATGTGATCATGTGACCATGGGGGGGGACGGCTATTGGAACTGCAAAACTGGGTCATTAGAAATACTGGGGAGGTCCATCATAGCAATAGCACATAAGACTTATAGACTGCTCCATAGTGCTTTACAGTCCCCTCTAAGCAGTTTAGAGTCAGCATATTGCCCCTAACAATTTAAGTCCTCATTTTACTGACCTTGGAAGGATGGAAGGCTGAGTCAGTCTTGAGGTGGTTAGGATCGAACCTCTGGTAGTCAGCAGAATTAACCTGCAATATTACAGTCTAACTAATGAGCCATCACAGCTGTTCATCATAACTTCTAAGGGTCATTTAATGACCAACCATAAGTTGAGGACTACCTGAAGCATACTTTACTTTATAAATTAAACTGATTTGCCGGGAAGTGAGTGTTTTATGCACAGTTCTGTCATTATAATATTATAAGGGCTTCCTCTTTGTACCATAGGACCAATGTATCAAAACCGCATTTCATATACTTTTGGTTTTAATAAGACAGCAAATCACATGTTCACATTCCACTTCATTAGTAATCCTTCAGAAGTTTCTTTTTTGTAGAACACAATAATTGATGTTAATATTATGTGAAAAACATGCATTTTAGCCCTGTAGCAAAGCCCTAGAAATCAAAATGTTTCATAGTATGTCTATTAGGAATAGAACACAGAGCACAGCCTAATTCAAATACAAGGCCTTTGACTTAAGTGGAAACCATTCTGAAATACACGTGTTCAAAAATTCTACCAAGCTGGTTGCATCCCTGCAAATGCAGATATCAACAAATTTATGTATTTTTTAAAAACCAATTTGCAATGGCTACCTTGAGTTCAAAGTTTCTTTCAGGAAAAAAGAAACCCTGGAAATTCTATTAGAATAATAGTTACAGTAAACCAAGACCAAGAAGATATCAGAGATGTGAGATACATTTGAATGTATTTCTTAACACCAAATTAAACACTGCTGTTTGTGAGAAAAACCAGAAACAATAACAAGGGAAATCTATTCCAAAGCCTCCAGTAAAAATGGGATGGGTATTATGCAACATGGTCTCACAGAAAGGGCAACCTCAAGCCACCATTGACTCATCTTCTACTACATCTTTTTATGGAAACTGAAAAGTTTCACCTTAATAAGAAAGAAAACCTTCGTGTTGTCAAGAGAAGTTGAAAGAAGAAATCAAATAGCCATATATTACTCATTTTTTAATTTCAACTTGTCTGTATGGTGGCTACATCAAATTTCTCTGCTCAGAAAAAAATCACTCCCATCTCATTGCCACTTTGGTGCAAATTTATTTTCAGCATTCTTCTGACTCCTCTATAGCTGGGTATCAGTAGTCATATTTTTTGTTCATTGCCAACTGTTCAGAGCACATGTGTTCTGTCAGAAATGGCACCTGGATAATAGAAACACTAGGATTCACATATGCTCTGAAGCAAAGTTCCTTCCTCTTGGGCTAACTGAAAACGTGTAAATAGAAAGTTCACTCAGTGTCGAGTTTAATTAGTACACTGCTTCATTAACATAAAGATGAAAATTCTGTTTTAATTGTATCATGTAATATCAGCAAGAAATATAAAAATATATGGTAGCTTTAAAACCATTTTCATCTCTTCTCAATACTGGCTCTGAAATCTTTCTCATACAGAAAACAACATTAGAGTTTCTTTAAACTTTATTGAAAGATATAATTCTAGTTATGCTATATCACAACTGCTCTTTCTTCATAACCTTCATTCCAAAGAAATATTATTTTAAAATATAGATGATTAAAGTATTTGATTAGTGTTTTTCTGTTGAGAAATGTTGGCTACAAAGGTTATGATGAGATCCACAAACATGGATGCTTACACTAACCATTCAAATAGCATTAGGGTGGTAACACGACCCTAATTATTGTTCAGAATTAGAAAGTTTAATAAATAAGGTTTCAGTTGGACTTAGTTTATTAGCATGGAACCACAATACTTCTTAGTTCTATTTACAAGCTAATTGAGAGAATGTTGATTACTCCAAACTTAAAGCAACTAATTTAAATAGTGAAAATGTGTGGATTATATATGTAGATTTGTTCAATCATGAAAAATTGTTACGGCTAAGCAAATAATAATACAGTTCTTTGAGAAAGAAAAAAATGTGATATTAGAAATGTTTCTCAAATACCTTGCTAATAGATTCTGCTGATATTATGTAGAATAAACAATTACATTCATTCCAGTAAATCAGTTGACTGGCAAATGTTCCCTCTTATTGAAGGGGTCACTTTTATCAGTCTGCAATCATGTTGACCTCCACCTTGCATAATCTCTGCCTTTTGTAAGGCTATTTATGGTGAGTAGGCTACATAATTGGTCAAGGAGGGATTTCTATGGTCAAGGAGGGATATGTATTGGTATATGTATCCATTACAACTGGTCTGTGAGTTTATATGATTGGGCCCCAGTTGGATATGATCATTCTTTATGCAAATCTTATTTAATGTAATTCAGAATTCCATGTGTTGTATAGTAAATACATTTTATAGATATGTCTTTTTCTGAGAAGACGAAAACAATTTCACATGGCACATCAATATACTTCACTGAACAACAGCTTCTCCTCATGTTTACTAAAAATTCAAATTGGTGAGGAAACAGCCAAAACGTTAGGTGCTAGTATTTCTCAAACAGATGTCTCAGCATAATTTTGTCATGTAGTTGGAAGAATAAACATGCATAATTCTGAATTACTACACTGTAGATGCTATATATTTGTTTATTTTAATAATTTCCAGTTCTGTAAATATCACTATCAGATTTTGCCAGTTTTGGGAAGCAATAGCAACCTTGACCTATTAATATTGGGAACGAACAAGTAGCTAGGGGTGAGATTCAAATTTCTTAACTGGTTCTGTGGGTGTGGCCTAATTTGTGGATGTGGCTTGATCAAGCACGCCCAGATGGTCATGTGACCACCAAGCCACGCCCACCCAGTCATATGACCAGCTGGGTGTGCTTGGTCATGTGACTGTGTGGGTATGGCCAACTCAATGTCACTCACATGGAGGGGCACCTCGCCTGGCTTCTCTCAGCTGGCACTCCTCCCAGCCGGCACAACCATGGATCCCCATGGCTTCTTCGTGACCAGGGGGAGAAGGAGAATATTCCCTTCTCTCACAGCTAGCATGGCCATGGATCCCCATGGCTTCTTCGTGGCCAGGGGAGAAGAAGAACATTCCCTTCTCTCCCAGCCGGCACGGCCATGGATCCCTGCAGCTTCTTTGTGGCCAGGGGAGAACATTCCCAGCCAGCACGGCAAAGCCATGCGGGAGGGGGGGGGGACAGCTAGCTAGCTAGGTCACGGTGAAGCAAGCCAGGCAAACCCAGGGATGGGGACAGCACAGCGGCCTAGGCCGTCCCTAGAGTCAACTCAACCGCTTGCTTGTAGGCTCACTCATCCAGGGAGATCAGGGCCATGGTGGAAGGCAAGCAGCAATGGTGGGCGAAGGCAGGTTAACAATGGTGGGCAAGATGAGGAATAACTGGGCAGAGCGAGATGAATGGATGGGCAGGAAGGGGTGGGGCCAGCCAGTGGCACAATTTACCGGTTCTCCAAACTGTGCAGAATCTTAACAACCGGTTTTACTGAACCAGTCCAAACCAATAGAATCCCACCCCTGCAAGTAACTAGGAATTTCATAAGAATACACATAGGCTAAATATTGGAATTACTATATAATTTTACTACATTTCCTTTGCCAATTAATTTAAAGACTATATGCCATTGTTAAAAATATGAGATTATTCTCGCTAACTTATTCTGTACCTACTACTTTAACAAAAAAGTTAATCTCTGGATTCGAGTATAAAGATGAAGCCATGCATGAATATTCCAAGTCTACTACTTAGCACATGGAATTTATTAATAATATAAACCTGTTTGCTGGAGGTATTCAGCAGAGTGTGACTTTAAACAGTTCAACAGTCAGCTTTGACTAAATCTACACCTGACAAAAATGATGAAGACCAAGTTTGTAAATACGGCCATCAATCTTGATTCAAACCTGCTACAACTCATTTTTCAGATTTGTACTAAAAATATTAAAAAGAATTGAGCTTGACTCCTGTGATTTTTTGGGTTATGTCAATATATTGATCTTGTCAATAATAAAAAAAAATGGAATGCCCATCTTTTGTGGTCTAACCTACCCTCCCAAATCTTGTAATGCTGAAATGCTCTCATCATTTGCTGGGCTGGGGATCCTGGGGGGATGAGCAAATAATGAGACTATATTCCAAGATTTTCTATCTTCATCAGGAAGATGAAGATAGTATGAAAGTTATTTCATGTGCCCAGATAAAATAAGCAGGCAGTAATATGCTGCTGATATATAAGAAGATGCTGATCAGTTTTGTGACGACAAAGGCACCATTTCATACTGCATGGGAGAAGGCAATAGTAAGGAATTTCTAATTTTACTAAGAAAACATGGATAGACAAGTTAAAGTGATTGATGATATAATGCTAGATGATGGTAGTAAAAATGCTATTGTGGAGCCATTGAATATACACTGCTCAAAAAAATAAAGGGAACACAAAAATAAGACATCCTAGATCTGAATGAATGAAATATTCTTATTAAATACTTTGTTCATTACATAGTTGAATGTGCTGACAACAAAACCACACAAAAATTATCAATGGAAATCAAATTTAGCAACCCATGGAGGTCTGGATTTAGAGTTACAGTCAAAATTAACGGGGAAAAAAACACTACAGGCTGATCCAACTTTGATGTAATATCCTTAAAACAAGTCAAAATGAGGCTTAGTAGTGTGTGTGGCCTCCATGTGCCTGTATGACCTCCCTACAACACCTGGGCATGCTCCTGATGAGATGGCGGATGGTCTCCTGTGGGATCTCCTACTACACCTGGACTAAAGCATCCCCCAACTCCTGGACAGTCTGTGGTGCAATGTGGCATTGGTGGATGGAGTGAGACATGATGTTCCAGATGTGCTCAATTGGATTCAGGTCTGGAGAATGGGTGGGCCAGTCCATAGCATCAATGCCTTTGTCTTGCAGGAACTACTGACACACTCCAGCCACATGAGGTCTAGCATTGCCTTGCATTAGGAGGAACCCAGGGCCAACCGCACCAGCATATGGTCTCACAAGGGGTCTGAGGATCTCATCTCAATATCTAATGGCAGTCAGGCTACCTCTGGCAACCACATGGAGGGCTGTGCGCCCCCTAAAGAAATGCCACTCCATACCATTACTGACCCACTGCCAAACTGGTCATGCTGGAGGATGTTGCAGGCAGCAGAATGTTCTCCATGGTGTCTCCAGACCCTGTCACATCTGTCACATGTGCTCAGTGTGAACCTACTTTCATCTGTGAAGAGCACAGGGCGCCAGTGGCGAATTTGCCAATCTTGGTGTTCTCTGGCAAATGCCAAACATCCTGCACAATGTTGGGCTGTAAGCACAACCCCCACCTGTGGATGTTGGGCCCTCATACCACCCTCATGGAGTCTATTTCTGACCATTTGAGCAGCCACATGCACATTTGTGGCCCGCTGGAGGTCATTTTGCAGGGCTCTGGCACTGCTCCTCCTGTCCCTCCTTGCACAAAGGCGGAGGTAGCAGTCCTGATGCAGGGTTGTTGCCCTCCTACGGCCTCCTCCACGTCTCCTGATGTACTGGCCTGTCTCCTGATAACGCCTCCATGCTCTGGACACTACGCTGACAGACACAGCAAACCTTGCCACAGCTCGCATTAATGTGCCATCCTGGATGAGCTGCACTACCTGAGCCACTTGTGTGGGTTGTAGACTCCATCTCATGCTATCACTAGAGTGAAAGCACCGCCAGCATTCAAAAGTGACCAAACCATCAACCAGAAAGCATAGGAACTGAGAAGTGGTCTGTGGTCACCACCTGCAGAACCATTCCTGTATTGGGGATGTCTTTCTAACTGCCTCTGCTTTCCACCTCTTGTCTATTCCATTTGCACAACAGCATGTGAAATTGATTGTCAATCAGTGTTACTACCTAAGTGGACAGTTTGATTTCACAGAAGTGTGATTGACTTGGAGTTACATTGTGTTGTTTAAGTGTTCCCTTTATTTTTCTGAGCACTGTATTTGGGAGTACTGATGGTGCTTATGATGTGGCTAAATTAAAATCTTTGGGAAGTCTTGTGGTTTATTCCTTTCTATGTTCGAAAAGAAAATCTAAAGCTGCAAAAATAGGATTATAGTGAAAACATGGAAAGTAAGGAACATGAATATTGGAGAGTAACACTGAAATGAAGCAACTGTACATTGACATCTTAGTCATTAGTATATTGAAACAGGCTAGAGATGGAGACTTTCAGAAGATTGTACTGTTTATCATTCAAGACATTAAAAAAATGGAATAGCATTGCTTTTATGGGAAGGATGTAGAAAGGACAATGCTTTTATACAATCAATGACTGAATAAGATCAATTAGAGTTTGCTGAAAATTCCAACATAATGATTATCCAAGTTGATGCTCTAACCACTGAGGCAGAAGAAGAGGTTGACAACATGATGTGTATGAAGACTGGAATTCAAAGTTGGAAAGGAGGAGGAAAAACTAGTTCAACTTCAAACTGTCATAGGAAATTGAAATTAAGCAGGAGAATGACTTTCCAGTTTCTATCAATCCAATTATTATTTCATATTTAATACAGCCTTCAAACACCAAAACGAAATATCCATGCATGTGAACATCACTCTATAGAGTACACCAAAAATTAGAACAACTTAAAAGGTCTGATTTGGATAAATCATTTACATCTACAACGTGATATTTCCTGATCATCTCCCATCCAAATAGTAATCAGGTATGACTCTGCTTAGTGTACCCAGCCAAGTGTAATTTTCTTCAACCAGGTGCCCTCCAGATGCAATGGACTGCATTATTCTCCACCATCTATGCTCATAGATGTTAGACATTACAGCTCAATGTATTTGGGCACCAGATTGGGAAATGCAATAAACTCTAGTCTTGGACCACCACTGAATATCAAACAATGTTTTCATGATGATATGAAGTGCATAACCAATATTATACACTCAGATAAGGAAATTGTGGTCAGTGAAAGTAAT